TATTTCTTTTGTTTACACGCTGCAGTTTGCTTTGTAAATTGAATACATAAATTATTTAGGCAAATATAGGTTTTTGATAAAACTCCTTGGACTAACGTGTAGGTAAGTGTTGATAAATAAGTTTTTTTTCATCTTAACATGCTCATTGTCATTCTCCTGATTTAGGTGACAGAAAAGGATCATCAAATCAAATTGAATTTTATATTTTTTCATCCCAGGACCGATAATAAAATATATATTTTATGGATACCTTCCTAAATATCAACGAGATGAGCCATCGGAAGAAAGGGACCATAGTACAAAACAGAAGGGTGATCTTTTTTCTTTCCACTTAGGATATTGAAATTATTATATACTGTAGTCGTGTTCGGCATTATGCTCTGAGAAATATAGATAAACAAAGAACAACAGATATAAAGCATCCCAGAGGAAAAGAGAGGCAATACCTGTACTCTCTCTCTGATATTTGTGAAAGTTACGGCAAAGTATTGTTGTAAATGTCATCTTTTTAATCGACCTGAAAACTTCGAGCAAAAAGATGACACTTTCAACAATACCCTGACAGATATCAGAGACGATACAGGTTCTTCCTCTCTTTTCCCCTGGAATACTTTTAATTTATTATTCTTTGTTTATCTAGATTTCTAAGAGCACTATGAACGAACTCAGCTTGTATGTTTGAAATAATCGTCCAGCTGGCTTAAAATGATGATCGATGACATTTCCTATATAATTCATAGATGGCTTCATTTCTAAGCCATCTATGACGCCATTTTTTTCAGTTTTGTTATAATTAATTTTGTCTCTTGATCTACTTGTAACATTATTCTTTTAATTTTATTAATTTATTTTGTTGAAATTAATTTCTGTTGTATATTTGATAATGATATTAAACATATTTTTAAAAAATGGTGTATTTTTTGTGTTTTTATGTATGTCATAATTAAAAATAAATGAAGAATTAAAATTTTTTATTTTTTTAAACTTCCCGCCATGCGTGACAATCTAGTCCGTAGTTCCTACAAGCGATATTGGGGGCTCTAGTAGCAGTAGACTTGTCAACAGTGTCAAATTTAAACGTCAATTTCACTTTCCAATATTTAGCAAGGCGCTCGCACTTCTCCTTGTGTATGTGTTTTGTGGACGGAACTACGGCTCGGCTCTAGGAGCGCGACGGCTGGAGTGAACACGCGCGACGCTAAGTACATACCAGTGCCAGTTACTACTGTTGGCGACCGACGAAATCGCGACGGCGGCGACGCGACGGCTAGAGCTAAACACGTCGCTATGCGGTTACTATGGTTCCAGTTAACTTCAAGAGCGATTATAAATGATTTATTTGCAAATTATAAATAATTTATAATTTAGTCGTCATTATGATCGTCGTTCTTCAGTAACAGATTCCTAATTCGTTATGGAGCGCGACACGACGTTACAAAAATATACCGCTCCAAAATCGCGTTACTCAAATACCGACACATCACTAGGCCATTATGTTATCTTACAAGTCTTCATCGCATTTTGAATTTTTGTCTTCCATTGGAAAGCATTAGTGCACACACTACTTAACACTAACCGATAAATAAAACACTAATTTACCACAATACACCAAAACACTTAATTTTTGCACTGGAGTCGCGTTTCGCTAACCAAGTTAGCATTATCAGCAGGTGATTAAAACTGTCGACGAGTTTATAACGACAAGAATATAAAGGAGCTTTAATCATCTGCTGTTGATGCTAACATGGAGAAACGCGAGTACAAAAGTAAAGTATTTTAGTGTATTGTGGTGAATTAGTGTTTTATTTTGTGTTGTAACACCAAAAGATCCAACCCTCAACTGTAATTCGCACTAACCGCAAGTTAAGGATCAATGCATGCTTGCCGTACAGTTAAAAAGTGCACCACAGCATTGCAAATATTGTAGAAAGTAAACGAAAACCATGGATCATGATTCGTGATCCATGATTGCTCAGAGCTGAAGATCACTATCTCCTTCTACAGTGGATTTTTGTAAGGCTTATGTTACTCATTTTTTATTATTTAAAATACAGACACTTCAGTCTGTTGAAATGAAGTGTCACGCATTCATCAAAGGTATGTTTCGATCACCATAACAACCGTTTACTTTGTTACTCGGCGCCGGCCTACTACTAACTATATTATAAGGATATTTTAAGAAAAATGTAAAAGGTTGAGGTTAATAGTGTAAATAAACATAGAGTGTTATATATTTTCGAGAAGCCCATGCCAAGCTGAATCAGGAAATTTAAAAATATACAAGGTGTTCTATTTATAAACACAAGTATAGTTAATATCTAAAAATATATATTTTTTTGAAAAAAGTCTGACTACGCCACTGCATTCTACACAGAAAAGTGCCTATAGAATGTATAATTCATTTTTCGTTGGTTGCTGAAATAAACAAACTATCGGACATCTTCGAAAAGTACAAAATTTGAGAATCCCCCTGTAGCTTCGATACGCTTTCAAAAAAAGAACCCGAGACTGCAGTATCAAAATTTGAATATTTCTATAGAATCAACCAAAATGGCCCACCCGGTACATTGTGCTATATTTCGATATGATATATATTCTAGATGATTCCTTCCTGTATTCCTTCCTGTAGCTACAGTTGACGTAAATTGTGTACGTATCTGCACTACCAATTCATTTTTTCAATGTAGTATCAAGTTTCCCAAATCTAGAGGAACCGCTTAATTTGACTGGGGTATACAGGGTGGCCCATTAGTTCGAGGAAGTCCAATATCGTCGGTGTTGGGGTATGGGTAAAAGATATGAAAAAAAGTTTTATATAAATATTACATGGTTTATAAAGGGGCATGTCCTAAAAATATTTTAATACAAAGTTTTTTTAAATTGCACCCCCCCCCCCCCCCTTTCTGTAGATAGAAATAAAACTTTTTTCATATGTTTGATAACACCGACGATATTGGACTTCCTCGCACAAATGGGCCACCTTGTATATTAAAGTAAATTTACTGGAAATCATATAAAATAATAAATATATATTTGGGGGGAAGGATATTAGTTGATAATTCAAAGTATACAGAACTTAAAAGTATTACACAGCAATTAGGTTATTATTACATTTTTTTTGTTATATTAGTTTCAGAAATATAAACAAATAAATAAAAAAGTTTATCTTGGAACGATTTAAAGAATACAATACACTTAATATACTAAGGATCCGAAATTAAAACTATTAGCATATTATGCTAAGTTTAGACTACAGTCTACAGTTCTGTACTTATTTTATTGTTAATATCGTAATTGTAAATTGTTAAAATTTAATGTCAATATTTTATTCGAGGTCTTATTATATGTAGGTCTTTCAACGGTATATTTTCATCAATGCCACCTAATAATTTTTAGTCTTGTATTGTACAGGGTGGGTCAAATTGGACGCTTTTAAAGGGAAACACCCTTTTCTATAGGAGATTATTTCTATAGGACGAAAACTAATAGCGGTGTCTGGAGCTCAATTTTCATCAAAAACATGATGATGAAAACCGGACATCAATATCTGTTGCCTTTTCGGAGTTACGGGGTGTTTTTCAAAAATGTGCATTTTTAACAAATCACTGTAACTTTTTTGCTGTAGAAAATTTTGTATTTTTATGAAAATATCTCCAAAGCACCTTTTTACGTAGAATTTAATGGTTTAAGTATATTTTTTTTAAATTAATAATTTAAGAGTTGTGGTTTTTTTGGGACACCCTGTATCTTTTTAATTAACTGAAAAGAACTTAAAAGTACAATTCCAAAAATATAGCACACTTGATATTTTGTTATAATCCCCTTCGAAATACAGAATTTTTAAAAGTTCGCCACTTTTAACTAGTAGGCTTTGGACCCCTTATTGATTATATGCCCCTAATGGAACTCGAAAACATATTTTTCAAACAAGACCGCCACAAGGCACCACCTAAGAACGCGAATTTATCGGAAAATGTTTGCAGCCAATTTCAAGAATAATTGAATAGTTAACCAATATCCCAGCCTTTGGCCGTCGAGGTCGCTGGACTTAGTGCCTGTGAATCTAATCCTATAGATATATTTGCGGAGGAATAAAGGTTCTTATTTTTAAATTGCCCGTATAATCTAGACAAGAATTAGAAATAATTAGCAGTTTTGAGAGGGTATCTTTAAGCCCCACTGAGTTAATGAATTCTGCGAGAAATGTTCAAAAACGGCCCCGTCTGTCTATAACAGAAGACGGTCAACATGTCGAACACCTGTAGCAAAATCTCATGTCTTGGTTTGCCATTTATTTTTATTGTTATTAGATATAGTTTCAATGTGTTGATGTTGGTTAAATATAGTTTAAATTGTTGTTGTAATTTAGTGTTGATGCTCACAGCTCACAGCTAGAACTTTTTTGCATTACAGCCGGCGCCGTTCAAAGCCTATTTATTTAAAAAAGTGGGCGAATTTTTATATAGTCTATATCTCGAAGAGGAATCGAGCAAAATATCAAGTGTGCTATATTTTTGGAAAGATAATTTTAATTTAATAATAATTTATGGTGTCCCATAAAAATCAAATTTTCTGTTGATAATTCTTAAATTATTAATTTTTAAAAAAATATAATTAAACCGTTAAATGCTACGTAAAAAGGTGCTTTGGAAATGTTTTCATAAAAATACAAAATTTTCCATAGCAAAATAGTTACAGCGATTTGTTAAAAATGCATATTTTTGAAAAACACCCCGTAACTATGAAACGGCATCAGTTATCGATATGCGGTTAGATTAGGTTGTGACATGATATGCGGTTTTCACTATCATGTTTTTGACAAAAATTGAGTTCCAGACACCGATATTAGTTTTCGTGTATGTCCTATAGAAAAGGATATTTCCCTTTAAAAGCTTCCAATTTGGCCCACCCTGTACTATAATACACAGATCAATTCTGCACTTAAACTAACCCTCAGAGTTGGCCAATGGACTACTACACGTTATTTTCTTTTGTTTCAGATGGAGCGAACATTTTTAATTTTCTTATATTATCTGTTCATTATTCGGGCAGAGAATAATTCAACACGAGATTGTTCATCATGCTCTAATAGTACTGTAAATAATGAAGACTGGACTTTAGAGATAAAGTTGGATCTCAGTAGAAAAAATTTGTCTAAACTGAACGATAAACAGCTTTTACCGTTTTCGTGTTTAACCGAATTAAATTTAAGTAGAAATAACTTTCAGTCGTTGAGTTCCAGTTATTTTAAAGGCTTGAGTAATTTAAAGTACCTAAAATTTAATAGAAATAAGATTGAACGCATTATCGAGTCATGTTTTGTTAATTTGGAGAGTTTAGAAATGTTAGATCTGTCGAGGAATACCATAAGCGTAATCGAGGATTCTGCATTTCGTTCACTAAATCAATTAAAAAAACTTTTATTGTCTCGTAATTCTATAGCGGAAATAAGGAACAAAACCTTTAACGACCTGTCTGATTTGCGAGAATTGGACTTAAGTTATAATAATCTTAGCTTTGTTATGACCACTATGTTAAGGAAACTGAGCTCTTTAGAGACTTTAAATCTTTCAAATAATAAAATTGTTATATTTTCTGTAAAGGACGTTATTTTTCCAAGGCTTCTTTCTTTGAACTTATCAAGTAATAGAATACCGTTTATTGATATTGACATGTTTAACATAACATTTACCAATGAGTTATTTAGTGTTGATATAAACTGTAATCAGTTTTCGTGTACTGCATTAGAATTAACTTTGAAAACTGCGGAAAAAATATATGTTAAACTTGTACCAGGTGTGGAAGTTCACAATAAGAGAAGTCGTGAAGGTATTTTTTGCATAATTGAGAGAGAATCGCACACTTTGAATATTATAATGACCTTAGTTCTTATTACTATCATTCTTGCACTTTTGTTGTGTATTGATCGCAGTATGGGGTATCGCTTCATTAACAAGTTGTTTTGCTGCTTTAAAACTTGCAGATAGAATGATATTTCCCCATTTATAAATTTTATTTTATGTATGTATGTATTTACATCAGTAGTTATATTAGTCATTTCATGCTTTTAGAATTCTTCATGTACATTCTACTGAACATGGGTCATCTCTAACTCGAGTATAGCAAAAAAACATGTTTTATTCTGTTGAGTCAAATATAAGCACCCTGTTTTCAAAACGTTATTATAGTTTTCTGCTTTTTTATTTATTGACATGTTTTACTAGCATATTCTTCTAAGGCGGACTCCGACGACTCGTGTACTGTGCAAATAATTGTGATAGGCATACAGGGTACGGTCGTAGCATACAGGGTAATACATCGTAGATCCTATAATAAATAACTTAGATATTTTGTATAGATGTATACCCCTGTATACTAATAACAAATATTTGCCAAGTACACACGAATCGTCTCATATTTAACGAAAAAAAAAAACTTCAGTGAAAATAAATGGGAAATAATTTAAGAGTTGTTCCAACACAGCAGAGAACCCGTTCGTAGTACGTTTACGCTTATGCGCAGTAGAGAAAATGCGTTCCAGCAGCGAGAAAATCGTTTAGCGAACGATAACTTTTGCGTTCCATCCAGAATTGTAATTGTTCGTGAGCCGTATTTGGAACAGTAATTTCGATACCAGCCTAAAAGCAGGAATCAAAACAACTGACCGGCGCACACACGGCAAAATGCTTGACAAAAATTGAAATTACAAATATTTTGTTTCGTATGTTTATCCACTCACTGTCATTCTTATAAAATCTGTGGACCTAATTTTAAATGTTATAAATTTTTTCGAGCAACTATACCGGTACAAGCGGTACCAAAAGTTGTACAAACGTGGAGCGCAAAAAGCCTTGTTCTCATGGAGCAGAAAATCGCGTTGCGGGAACGGAATAACGCTTATTGTCGAAGAAAGTAAAATTGGTTCACATGAAGCGGAATTCCGGATGCGCATTTTTATATAAATTTAGGGTATTTCAGATTATTTTCTAGTGATTTTTTTAATGTCAGAACTTTTATGCACTAATTCAAAAACACACTTGTCTTGTCACTACAAGGCAAGTGTGTTTTTTAAGTAAATAAACAATAAACAAAAATATTTGTAACTTGTATATTATTCTATTAATTAATTTAAATTTTATGGTGATTATGGATACTAATATTGCTAACAATTAATACAATTATAACTATTATCAATGGAGAAGGCAGTAGGTACATAGTTGGATTAATATTAATTTATGAATGGCCTAATAACAAAAAGTCTTTACAAAAACATATAATAAAAAAAGGAGAATGTGGGTCAGAGATATTTTCTTAAAAAATGTCTGAGCAAGCAATCCCAACTCCAAAATTAAAATTCAAACTACCAAAACAATCAAAACCAAAACAAACAGCAACTTCCCTCCCAATTTGAGGTTAAGTTAAAAATTAAACGAAGAAAGAACATGTTTAGACAAAGATAGACTATAAAAACTCGCTAAAAAGTTAAAAATAGTTTAACTTTTTGCGGATCCGTCAAAAGTTGAAATTTTCCCGTAGCGGGACAATTTAAAAAAAATCCGCGCTCGCAACGCGATTTTCTGTCCCATGAGAACTAGGCTAAAGAGTGTCATTTACACCCAGCACAGCCATTTGAAAAATAATTATCATTATGGACAATATAGCTACAGACATGTAGTACAATTAAATAACATCAACGTAATAAATTTGGACTGTTTTGAATGTAGATTAAATATATTTTAAACCAATGACTAAAGAATATAAGGACATGTAACGCCCCTATACGGGCTGCTGCAGAATTTGTGACCTTTTTTTTTGTTTTGGTGGCAAACAATGAGTCATCATTTGGTCACCAGCGACAATTTTAGCGATTTTTAATAGTTTGTATGTAGTAAACTTTATATAAACTTTATTATAATGGTGATTAGTTGTTCAGCTTTCAAGTGTAAAAGCAGCAGCGATAAGAAAGAGCCAGGAGTTACGTTTCATAGGTAAATAAACAGTTCACTCCAACTTTTTAGCGTTTTCTTATTGAATTCGATAATTATTCTTCAATTTCAATTAATATCTATATGTACTTGATATGTGCTATACGTCGATACTAGTTTTGTACCTTTTGTTAACATTTTAATACGTTTTTTTCGTAATTAATTAGGATGATACACCATAGGCGTAGTCAAAACAATTTTCAAAAAATATAAATATTGCTTCAAACACCTATGTTAAGAAAAATATGTGCCACGGCACTGTTTGATGGCATCGTCACAATTTGCTCTCGGATGTTATTTGTCCTTGGATTCTTTAGTCATTGTTTTAAACACACTATTTTGGGTTTATTTTTTTATCATTTTGTGTTCATAATGACTTATAGTAATGAGTTCCACGGAGTTCCGCTTTTAATTTAATAAAATTAAAATCAGTAATGTATGTAGATACAGGCATAAAAAATCAGCTTTCCCAAATCTGCCCTTTTCTTGAAATAGCCCTTTATTTGCAGGGAGTCGTACTGATTTCTATACCAGCCCTCTAATATCAAGAAAGGATTTTTTTAGTTTTAAGAAGACAGATATTCTAAATTATGAATTTCTAAGTTTATTACAAGCTTTTCATATATTATTGACACTAGAAAAACATTTAAATGGCTGTGCTGGGTGTAACGCGAACAGCATCAATTTTCGGTAACGCTTGCACTACTCTAGTTTCTAGTTCATTGGAAAAATTTATAATATTTAAAATTAGCCCTACAAATGGAATAAGAAAAACAATGTGTGGATAAACGTACGAAAAAAAAATTAATCTGGGTTTTTGTCAAGCTAAACATAGCATTTTGCCGTGTGTGCACTGATTCAAAAATATATTTAAAATCATCTAAAAACTATCGCTAATGTAAAACCTTAAGAAAGTTTTACCCGTATTAGAGAATAGTATTAGTTTCGAGGTATAAATTCTATTTGATTAATTTAATATCTCATTAAAAGTGTATTAAAGCTAGAAGGGGAATTAGGAGTTTGAATAATAATGAATATGCAAGAGTGTGGATTTACTTGAGTAAGTTCTAAGAAATAATTAATTATATATTTAATAATATAATCCATCTGATTAGTGATTAATCAAAAATGTATAATTTACTTGATTATTTTGTGCAGCATTTGCGGTAAAAATATATATTAGGTAATAAAGTATTATGTCAAAATTTTGTTTTATATGTATAAGAATTGTACATTTCCATTTATTTCAAATTACTTTTCATTTTCATTCCAAAACACTTATTTCTTAAAATTGCCCTAAGATTTTTTTTAATATATTTCTTGTTGATAATTCTGATATTTGTCAATTAAACTGTCTATTCTAAATCTTAATTGTTTTTATCAAGTCGTTTAAAATAATGACAAACAGGAGAAAACTGAGAGAGCCTACTAGATGAAAATTGTAATGTGGGGTGATGTCATATTTAAAATGTATTGTATGTATATTTATTGTATGCTTTTCATAATTATCACAACATTGTTTAATATTTAAAAGTTTTGCTGATACATTTTTTTATTATTCTGTTAGCTACTACAACTTTGTTATATACTTATACCATCATTTCATATACAGGGCGAGTCTTAAGTCTTAAATAATTGCAAATGTCTTTAGGGGTAGTATATTTTGACCCGAGAAACACGTCTATGATTTTTTTTCGCAAAAATGTTTTTTTTTGAAAATTTTGAATTTTTTGAAAAAAAAATGGAAATTGAAAAAATATTTTTATAAAATGGCAACATAGGTAGTAGATTAAATTTACAAGAAAGAAACAGAAAAAATACAGTGGTTCTCAAAATTTACTTTATACTTTTTACTTTTTTTTTATTTAGAGTTAGTATGTTTCTTTTTTACCGAGATTTACCAGCCCTAAAAATATTTGCACGTATTTGGGACACATATTTAACTTTCAACACATTTCAAATGGAAAGAACTTTAGAGTAAGCATCAGAGTTAATAGTAATATTATTTTAGTATATATATATATATTATATATTATTAATATATTAACCAAAATAAATGTTTTGATACCAAGAACTAAAACGCAGTTTTTATTTAATTTAATATTTAAGCCAGTTTTAAGGACGAATCCTACAACCCTTCAATTCGTTTACTTTTCTCCTAATTCTTTATTTTTAAGGTCAATATTCGACTGAATCATGCTAACCAGATTCCTACATAATCGACAAAATCATTAAATAAATGTAGTCGTAAAAATGCAAAAATACGAATTTAGTTCATGGACGAATAATGATAGTGAACTTGATGAAAAATAAAACATGACATTATGAGTATCTTTAATTCTGGTTATGTTCTGGTGTGTGTCATCCACTAAATATGCATTTGGATTAAGACAGTCGTCAAGTTTAAAATAACTTAAATAAAGTTGAAGTCCTGAGGAATCCATGATATTGGACACAAGTCTATTCGTCACCGTCAAAAAACGTCTTTGATCCTCGCGTAGGCATATTCGGTCTTCCGGTATACCGGTATTTTTGAAATATTCCGGTATCGGTATACCGGTTATATATCGATACACCGGTTTTGGTACCGGTATCAGAAGACCGATTTAAACCGGTACAGAAAAATAGATTTATGATAATATGAAAATCAAAAAAAACTGTATAAAACGATTTAGGTACCGATTTTTGCGCAAAGCTGGTTGTGTTCTGCTCTAGGTATGACATGGCCAAATCAGTGCCATTCCAGCACCCTTCTGCGGCGTTGCAAAAGCGAAAATGGCTACAAAAAGGGGATGGACAAGATATCTCTAGAATGCGGTGGGAAAATTCACCATTGCAAACTCAGGCGAAAAAGTTCATAGAAGAACATTTGCCAAAATTCACGGCAGACCTGATAAGCAAAGACAGAAAGACAGTCAAAGGTAACAGTGCATTGTAAGCTGAATAGGCATCTAAAGCTAAGGGATTGACAGACGAAGCCATGTACAGGTTCTGTCAATCTGAAGAAGAAACGAAAGTCTGGAAAATATGCGGTTTTTTGTAATAAGCAATCATAGGAAAAGGTCGCAGCGGATCATGCCGATACCGAGCTCGAAGAATTTAATCCAACCTTAGTCAAGGCAAAATCGATTTAAAATTAAAAAACAGAATCATGAAAAATAAACATTTTGGTGTATTGTTATTTGTGTGTATTAGTATTTTATTTTGCTGTTGTAACACTAAAGGTTCTAACCTCCAACTCTAATCAGTCATTTAAACAGAATGTTGTGGTATAGGTAAATCAAACAAGTGCTATATTTCATCCTTGGTATTGTATGACCATGTGTATTCACTACATATTTTAGAGATTTCCGGAAAATCCCGGATTTAGGTAAGTTGTCCCGGATGCCAGAAAATCATTATACTATCCCGGAAAGCGTCATTCAAATTATAAAACCAAATGTTACAAAGTTTTACAAAGTAAAAAATACACATATTATGCTTAATATTATTCCATACATTATTCCCACGATTGTATGTGGTGATGTGTATTTTTTAGAGCGTCGCCGTTTTTTGCTATCGCTTTTTTGCCCATGAATTTAGCTAATACAATCTGGCAAACCCTATCTTTATCCAGCTTGTTTGGTGTTGGTGTTCTAACAATTCTGTTTATTTCCAAAATTGACTACATCTACGGATTTGCAAGTTTCCAATGGCTTTACTCTGATACATATTTACCATAAAGTTCAAAAATAATTATTTGAGAACCTTTACTTTATACAAGAAACTTTACAAACAGAGAAAATCCGGTGACTCTCAAATTCTTTTAAAAATAAGTCAATTTTTTAAATTTCAAACTTGAATAACTCGACTTATTTTGAACTTATTTGAAAAACGGTAAAGAGAAAATCTGTTTCTTTTATCGAGATCTACCAGCCCTGAAAATGTTTGCTCTTATATAAGACTCACCCTGTATGTATTCTGTCATTATTTAAATTAGTTTAGATCTCTTTAGTACCATATACGATCGAAAAAAAACGGCATCAGGAATGGCTTGGAAATGAATACCGCTGTCTTTTTATATGTAAAATTATATCGGAAATGTCATTGATCGCGTCATTTCCAAGCCAACTTTTAACGCTTTTTTTAGATTTTATGGCAATACATATTTGGTTTATTTACATGCTGCTAGTAAGTATCTTATAACTAAAAATTGGCGCCGGGAGGTAGGTATAGCCGGCCATACTAAAATATGTTAATAAAAAGTTGGTAGGCAGTTATTTTAGTTTCAAAGTAAAAGAATTTTTCCAATTTTGGTCCGCGGTTATTTCCCCTATCCGCCACCTGGAGTCGCGTCCGATGGGAGTTTGCAGTTCTCCACACGGTTTTTTTTAAACGGACTACGGAAACACGGAATATATCTCCAGTACGACTGATATTGGAGATGGAGAGCTACCCTCTATAAAACCGTCCCAGATACTGGCTTTTGTCAGAGCCCTGGGGCTGTATGATGAGTTATAACTCAAGAGAGGGGGACACAATAGATCTGTAAGGTCGCAGTGATTAACCCCCCTCCCACTCATTCTAAATTCTAAACACAGAATATCTCAAAAACTGCGACTTTGACTGATTTTGATGTTATTACAAATTTTGGAGTTTTTTCTGTAAAGTTGGTCATTCTGTTAAAATGTAGATCTTTAATATCTTTTTAGAGTACAATGTGCGGAAGTGTGGTGCCCAATGACACCGGAATTCTACAGAGAGTATCTGATGTGTAGGACAAGCAAAAGATTATTGCTTTACGTGATGAATCCTAACAAATTTCGGGCCACCCAGTATCTAATAAAGTAACACC